TCATAACCACTCGAAAAAACATTTCCATTTTCAGAAATTCCGTAACGGTCATTCTTTTTTGAATAACTCTGTTGAGGTTGAAGAGAAATGGGTAAAATTTTTACTGGTTACAGATCTAAGCAAGCTCTATTTGTGATAAAAATTTCAGACAGTTTACTTATTTGACTAAAAAATTACGTGGGTTGCAGTCTGAAAAAATGAAATTCTGTCACGCGTGGCCACGCCGATATGCTATCCCATAAAGTTTCACAAAAATAAGCTTTCACAATTTTTCACAGACATGTTCAAAGGAGCTAAAATTTTGAGTTTAGAAGTTTTTGGCACGGGTTTTCATCTGAAATACTTAGATTGAACATTTGACAATAAATCGTTAATCTTCACAGTGAGAATCGGACCCCAAATTTGGCCTTTCTAGTCTTGTTCAAGAAATGTTTGCTACCAAAGTTCATTTGCACAAAATTCTGAAAACGTTATTCTACGCATTGTGATCTGCTCTTTCAAATGAGACTAGTCTCGACTAATTCTATGGCGCTGATTCGACCAATTGATCCTATACACTGGGATCCTGTTGTTTGAAAATGACATATAGTATAAAGCAAATATTATCTTACGAGAAGATACTTTTGATACCATCAACAGATAGCCCATGGTCAATAGTATATATGGTAAAAAAATCTCGATTATATCTCTTGTCGTTCTTTAGAAAATGAAAATTTACTGAAACATTTTGCGCTGGAAAGTACTTCAAAAGTAGCCTACCCCCTCATACTTGCAACGTCTGTATCTCCAGATTGGCTATTTCGTTTGAGCTGAAATTTTCAGTTTCTTCCTAACTTTGTTAGACCTACTTACTATAAAAATACCAGTCAAATCGGTGACATCGATTGAGCAAGGGTAGGCGTGGCTTACGTGCAATGCCTCCTAGGACGTATCCTTCAATCCATCTCGAATAATCAATTGAAGACTATGTGCGAAACACGACAACCGTATTGCAATATCATCTTCTGTATTGATCGAATCTTTGTTGTTGTTGCACCAATCAATCAATATCCGTTCACTTGATATACTTAGGCCATCGTCATCATCACTAAATTCAATTAGGTTATCACCTTCTTGTTGATTGTTGTCCTCTTGATCGGTAGAGTCATCATCAACCACAGTTACACCAAATTTATAAGCTTTTATGATGGAAGCAGCATTATTGGTCACAATTCGGCACACCTTATGTTTAATCTATTAGAAGAAAAATCATGCCAATAACGATAAAAGCATCTCATTTCTCGCCAGAAAATAAATATTTTGACTTATTTTTATATTCCAAAAGATCCTTATTTTATTTCATTTCATTGAAATATGTTCAAAAATTAATTCTACAACTCCTACAGATTGAATCAATATTATGCAGCACATCTTACCTGCAAGTTTTCAAATGTTTCTTCCGTGATATTTCGAGTATTTTCTCCAGTATACGGTCATTTAAAACGTGAAAAAGCCAAGAGAAGAGCTTGTGTAAAACAATTTTTAATCAAGGAAGTGACCTGTAATAGCAAGAAATGCTCTTCTGTGTCGATCTGTCCAGACGTCTATCTTTATGCTAATATGATCGACGTTAGCGAGTAAGTGCTTTATTTTATCTTCAGTATTATTCACTAGCAATGGAACCAATCTTCTAGTGAAGTATCGTGAAGATGAATGTTTCCATTTTGCAGCAAATGTTTTTAAAAATTTTGTAAAATCAATCGATGTGAAGCTAGCACGACAACCAATCATAATCGAAAAAATAGCGAACCAATAAAAAATCGAGCATGATTTACTGTTTACATTCCATGAAATACGATACACATCTCCTTAGCAGCCAGGTCATTTATATCGTTGTGAAGCTAGCATGATGTGGAGCTACCACGACGGATTTAGATGATCTCTAAATCCTCAATGTTGGAACTCAGAGGCATAGGATCTGCATGAGGGTGTGGAGCATATGCTTCCGAACACCCTGATGCAGATTCTATACCTTTGAGTTCCAACGTTGAAGATTCAGACATCACCTAAATCCGTCGTGGTAGCTTCACGCCGTGCTAGATTCACCTTGATATCATTTATAAACATCGTAACTGTAAAAATCACCACGAGATCACAATTAAGGCTTAACTATCCCAGAACACGAAAAAACAGTTTGGCAAACCAACGATACGGAAAAAAACTATAAATCCCATTATCCGCTACCCCCATCATCACCAATGTTTCATCCATAACTCCGAAATAAGTTGCGGAGCATCAGATAGAGAATTCATTTCTCTATCAAATGATGTAAATCAATGTCTAAGATTTCATTCTGAACCTACTCAAATTTCCTTCCCTAATCCATGAGTCATCATTCAAGAATGAATTTTTTTGACAACATGGCCCATCCTGTTGATTTCATCCATTGCCCGGAATTCAGTTGTGGCGCATTATATAGAGAATTCAATTCTCTATCAATTGATGTATAACAATGCCGCAGATTCACTTTTGAAAGTACTCAAATAACCCCCACTAAGTTATGAGTCATCAGTGAAAGATGATTTTTTTTTGGAAAAACTCCCACGTCCTGATGATTTAATTTATTGCCCGGAACTAAGTTCACCCACATAACATAGTGAATTCAATTCTCCGTGAGATGTTGTATAGCAACATCCCAGATTCGATTTTGAAAGTGCTCAAATGATCTCCATTATGTGGCTACTCAAGGGAAGGATGTTTGGATAAAAGAAAAGGAGTTGTCGATTGAAATTGTTCATTTGTTTTTGTCATTCAAATGTTTTGTGAGTTATAATCATTTCAGAAACGGTTTTTTCGTTACGAGAAATAAATTATTTCTCGATGTATTTTGTTTTATAGGTGTTGCTATGGGCGGCCATTATAGTGGCTCAAACCCTCAAAATGGCGTTTTTTTTGTTTACTTTGATTTTTCGATTGTTTTATTCTTATATCCAATGAAATTTTTTTTCGGTGGTGCTAGCGGTTGAGATAAGCTACACACACTTGCATCTACACACACAAATCGCCATTGCATCGAAATGACATAAAGTCTCTCTATAAAATAAAAGAGGGCGCTCTGTATCGCTGACTTGAGACGTGTGTTCCTATATTCTTCGTTTAAGACAAAGCTAATAAATATAAAAGTGTAATGGTTCTCGATTTTAGTTGAAAATGCTTTTAGAGTATTATTATTAAAAATAAATAAATATTCCATTGCTTAAATTTTTTGGTAATCTGAACATTGTTCAATAGTAGATATGTCGAAAAATAAAAAACGTATACAACAAAAATGAGAATCAAGGTGAGATGGAAACTGATGATTAGGATAGTGGAGATTGTTACTGTGATGAAGTATCATTTTCAACATGTCTGCCTTTCGATACTCGTACTATTTCGGTTTTTGACATTTTATTCTCGATAAGAGTTGAGAGTATCGATCCTTTTTGTCCTAGTATACTACTGAAATGTAGTAGAACACAGTTTATAGTAAAAGAAATTCATAATAATAAGTGAGGAAAATTTAATAAATGCCATCTTCTCTTTTTGATCCTATAAATTTAAGTTTCAATGACTGTCGTTCTGCTGTTTAAAATAATTTTTTCTAATGAAAATTTTTATTTTTCAAAAGTCAACTGACTAACAAGAATATCAATTTTTTATTTTAGCGAATGGTGTAAAATTTCTGCAAGTCTGTAGTACAATTACTCTTAAGAGAGCCTCCATGATATCATCGAGTACCATGCCAGATACCCTAGTCTCAATCCTGTCGATTCCTTGAGAAAGCCTGGTAGGATCTGCCAGGATCCTGATTCGAAAGGATCCTGTTCAGGATTTCTTCAAGTTCCTAGCCAGATACATTTTTCAATTAAGCCTGCAGGATCCTCGCTAAGATCAAGAATGAATCCTGGTAGGATCCTGCGCATCCAATTGAAAAATATATCTGGTCAAGAACTTGCAGAAATCTTGAACAGAATCCTGTTCAAATCCTAGCGATATCCGTTCCAAGAATGTCATAGGATCCTGTTCAAGATTTTTTCAAGTTCTTGGCTAGATTTATATTTCAACTGAGAATGCAAGATCCTATCAGGATTCATTCTTGGTCTTGGTCAGGATTCTGTATTGTGAGTTGAAAAATATCTGACCAGGAACTTGGAGAAATCTTGAACAAGATCCTGTTCGAATCCTGATAATATGTCTTTATTGGATTACATAAGATCCTGTTCAGGATTTCTTCAAGTTCCTGATCAGTTTTGTTTTGAGTCAAGAATGCAAGATCTCAGCAGAATTCTGCCTCAGTCCTAACAAAATGTTGATAGAACTAACCGTGCATTTTCAAAAGATTTCATTATTCTTTTCAAAAACGTTTTTAGAACTGCAAGTAGATTTATCACTCAGATCCTGGCAGGTTCCTCTAAAGATTCTTTTTATCTAAGAAAGCATGTCATTATTGCTTGATCATGTCTTTAAAGCTCTTTTAAATTTCTGTCAATACCAACATCGTCAAAAATAGTTATTTCATTTACAGTAGTATGTCATTCAGTGATCTTTATTAAAATATTTCTTCTGTTCCAATGTAGAAAACATTGCAAATGCAGATTCAGTTGCCAAAATAATATCTTCTGTTAAATTAATTATTTTTGAAAATTAGTCTCAACGAAAATACATTTTAAAGCTATGAATCCATAATTTCCTCTGACCATAGTAAAATTTATCCTACATGATACACTGGCGCCACTCGATAAAAAGTTATTCTTGGAGACAGTGTTTCATTATGATTAACAACGCCTGATGTAAGTTGTACGTTTAATTAATCATGAAAAATTATTTATATATGCTGTGGAGGCTTTGATTATTTGTTTGTGTTGCACAAAAATTTCTTATTGGATATGTTAATCAGACCATTAGTTCGTGTCTTTGTAGCTGCACTTGGCCGTTATTTTCCATTTTTCAGTACTATTAGGTAGTTGCTCACAGTCGATTCAATGCCTCCAAAAACTTATTGCTTATCAAAACGCCAAAAAGCAGATACAGCATCACGTTATTGTTTTGTATCATTTCCATCCGAAGGAACACATGGTATTTGGCCTGACCATTTGATTCGAGGGAAAGGTCGTTTTGGTTTTGAGGCAAAATTTGGGAAGCAATGGTTTGAATGTCGTATTGAGAAGGAAGGTATCTAACTATTTAATTTTTATCACAAAATGTATCTCCTTCTGTATTAATTTAAGGTTCAATGGAAGAGTGCGAAAAGGCCCAAGAACAATTGGAAAAATCCATTTCGACGTCTCACAAGCAATGGTCTTCAGCTGAAACTGAGTTATCTGATAATGACGAGAGTAGTATTAGTAGTAGTGACAACGTAAGCTATTCATTTAATAGTTTTCTTATCTTTCCTTGATGTAATATTTTAGGAACAAGAGGACAACTACATTCTTGAAAAAACCAAAAAAAGTCATATTATAAACAGCAAGACGAAAACTAAAAGCAAACCTGTTGTTCTTTCAACTGATGAAGAAGAAGCTGAAATTTTAACAAGTATCCGCAAATCCATCATGAATTCCAACAGTGAGTAACTTCTTACCATTGTGAACGCTTTTTTTATAACTAGATGCTAGAGCAGTTTTGATAGCTTTCTTAATAATGATACATTATTTAAAGTATTTCTTTTTCATAATTTTCAATATCCAGTCGCTTTTTCGGAAAGGATAAAATAATAAAGAAATGGAAGATGAAAAAGTGACATGAATGTTGAGTTAAAAAAGAGAATCTCAAATCTCCGCCTGATTTAGTATAAATCACATAATTTCTCTTCATAACAGAATAAAAAATACATTAATTCAATTTTAAAAGGAATACAGAAAGCTATATGAATTTTATGAGTTTTATCATCGTATGATGAGCAAAAGCTTAAAACATTGACACAATAAAAATGAATTTCGGTATGTAAAATTAGATTCCTCAAATTTATATACAATGAGCATGGAGCCACAAAATGAAGAGCGCCATTTTACATAAAATGCTTTTTCTTAAGAAAAAGAAACAAAAACGATTGTAAAACACCCCAAGTCTAGAAATGTATTACATACTCCTACTAAACAAATCTTCGGCTTCTATCAGCACTATATTCATTAAAATGCAATAATATTTGCAACAAATTATGATCTTGGCTGGTAATCAAGTCAATATGAAAATGAAATGAATTTAATTTAGAACGTCCTCGTAATTCCAATGTCGAAGAAAAATCAAAAAAAATGAAACTTGATGATAGAACTTCTATTGAACAGTCATCACCATCAAATACAAATTTATCACCTGATGTTGAAAATAAAGTAGAAGAAATTGTAGAAAACAATTTGGAAGAGATGAAGAAAATGGTCACAAAAATGTATCATTGGCAAAGACGTACATCAGCAAGTAATAAGGTATGGTATTCAATAGAAAATTTACATATAAGTGCAATATTCAATATGGAGTTTCATGACGCGCTAATGTAAAAGATTCGAAAAATGATGAAAGCAGTTTGGATTGCCTAATAACAAATGAAAAATGTTTAATATTTTTATTATCATTCTATTCCAGAAAACTAGTCCACCACCAACAGATGAAGTACTGGTAGGTGTAATTGAATAATATTAAAAACTAATTTTCTTTTCTTTTAGATTGAAAACAACATAAATTTGTTGACGCTACCTGGCAAAACAGCTAGCAGATTTTTATTATCGGCTGCACGTGTTGTTCTAACAGATGAACAATATACAAATGGCTATTTACCTGATTTTCGTGGTAATAAATCAGGACGTGTGCCAATTCCTCAAGAATCAGTCAATAAATTACGCGGTTTTATAAAATACTTATTTTTTTATCTATGCCTTGATGATAATTGGTGTTTTGTTGCAGATGCTGTAAAAAAACGATTCGGCTACAACGAAGAAGATATGAACAGTATATGGACAACAATTCGAACTAGTCTTGTGCAAAAGGTTAATGACATTCGAAAAAGCAATAAACGAAAGAGTGCAACCAACTATTCTGTTGCTTCATCTGAACAACCTGATGATCTTCCACATGCTGCTGCAAATGATCATAATGATGTAAGTACAAAGGAAGCAGGATCAGTTTTGTATAGCTCAGAAATTACGTGCAAATATTCGTACTATAATTATAAGAGAATATAAAAATGAGCTTCAATGTTTTAAATCTATCAAGTCAAATTATCTGTAAGAAAGAACACTAATTTTAAAAGTAGGAAAATAAATAACAATAGCTTTTCATAGAAAAAGATCATGTATCATAAAAATTCTTCCGATTTCATGTCGAAGTGAACAATGAGACTTAGAGAAAGTCTTAGAACCCAATAGAATCTGAAAAAATATAAGATTACACATAATATAGGGCTTTCAAAGAGTCAAAACAACAATTAAGTCTTTATGACAAAAAGACTAGAATTAAAAATAGAATTCATAACTGTGTTCTTAAACATATTTTCTAAAAAATAGTATTTTTTTACTCTTAACTAAAAGTTTGACAATCACAGTCCTGTTAAAACATTTTTCTGTAATACATTATAAAATTAACATTACTTGTTTCTAGGTTGCCGACAATAATATTGGTACTCATTGATATATCATTGTAGCTTGCTAATTGGACTATAAAAGATTTATCATTTTAATTCTTTTTTATTAGAAAAAGAATTATCACTTTTATGTTTTATTTTATCTAGAAAAAGAATTATCATTTTTATGTTTTGTTTTACCTAGAAAAAGAATTATCATTTTTATGTTTTGTTTCACCTAGAAAAAAAATAAAGCATAGCTAGAAAAGAAACTTCTTTGTCTTTTAATGATATTTACTTCTCAAAGATAAATATTTATTACCCATATTATATTGAGAATATTTCTTGTGTAAATTAGAAGTCAGAGGTTAGTTTATTTAAAAGAAAACTAATAAAATTTACCGTGCTATTTCTCCTATATGTATCTAATTTCAATGTTGTGATATGACACACCTATGTTAATACACTGCCTCATATTTCATAAGATATTATTCTAATTACAGTATAGCGATGTTTTACTTCTGATAGATTTGATAACAACAATATTAATTATCACAAAAGTTATAGCAATTCTCATATTCGACTAATTTTAGATGTCTTTTAAATCATCACATCAATATATAATAGAAAGATCCGAACGTCGTAAAAAGAAGACCAATCAACAATCTATCAGACGTTTTCGATGTAAACGAAAACGATCTCTTGTTTCGCTTCTTTCTGCATCTTCAATTTCTTCAAATTTTCTTGATCAAGGTTCGATAGCAGATGAAAATTGTAATACGCAACAACCAAATTCGTCTGAGAATGATACTTTTACATGCACTTCATCATCTATTATCACGGATCCATTCAACAATGATAATCTTAATTTATCAAATGACAGTGACAACAATGTTCTTATCAATACGTCATTAACATCGTCATCGTCATCATCATCGTTGTCATCCTATTTAGAATATTATTCAAGTGATGATGAATTAAATACTACATGTTCAAATGCACATATGTCTGACCATAGACCTCTTTATGCATCCACCTCCACAACTGTCTATCAATTTTCTCTCGATATTCTCGAGTTTTGTCGAACATCACGTCTACCTGAAAAGCAACGTTGTTATCTTCTTGAACTTTTTCGCAAGCATCTACCCTCGCCCAATTTGGTACCAAAATCAGGCAATGATCTATTGAGTACGTTTTTGGTATTTTAACTGACATTTCTAGCGAGGCAATTACATATTATTGCAAAGCTATAAATGTATCTACACTAGGGGTGGCCATTTAACTTAACTTAAAATTTAGTTAAGTTTCTTGGTTTAACATTTTATATTAAATATTAAGTGTTTTACTTAACACTTAAAACTTAATTTTCCACGTTAAGCGAAAATCTAAAACTTAATATTAAATATTAAGTTTTTACTTGAAACTTAACTTTGAGTATTAAGCTTTTCCATTAAAACTTAAAACTTAATTTAAAGTGTTAAGTTAAAAAACTTATTTAAGTGACATAATTAGGTGAAATTAAGTTAAAATTCCCACCCCCAATGTACACCTTGGGTACATACTGTTCAAAATGTTGAAACTATTCCATGATAAGATGGTTATGTCTTCCTAGTGTTATTTACTATATTCAATAGTTGATACTAGTATAATCTGTGCTGAGACGAAGATATTCAACTTTTCTTGATATATAATTAAAACATAAATCTTAAGAAAAATATTAGTTCTCATGTTTTTTCATTGAAATACAATTCATAGTTTTAATTTCTATGCAGTGGACCTTTTCTCTTAAAAGTTATTTTACAAGATACGAATTTTTCTTCAAAGAAAATATTTTATATTTAAATGTGATTTTTTTATTAGATTCTATTGGTCTTGGCAAATTGTATAATACGGATAAGATTTGTGGTGTATGTTATTCATCATCAACATCTGGAATTTGTTCAACGACCAATTGCATTCATGAAGAAATGAAAATTCCACCTGATGATGTAGTTCAACTTATTTCACTTGATGTAACTGAACAATTAAAATTATTAATTAATAAAAATATAGATCTTCTTCGACAATACCAAAAACAAGCTCGAACAAAAACTACATCCGATGCAAATGATATTCTTTAAGGTGATGTTTATCAATCCATGTTAAATGTTCATAAGGACTTCTTTGTGTCTTTAATGATTCATAGTGACGGTGTTCCTCTCTATAAATCTAAAAATTGTAGTGCATGGCCAATATTAGGTGCTGTTCTGGAACTTCCTCCTTTTTCTCGAACCCGTGCTGATAATATTCTACTTCTAGCTATTTGGGTAGGTAAAAGAAAACCAAATTTCAATATTATTTTTCAAAAAATTTCCAAGCAATTACTTCGTCTTAAAGTTAATGGTATTGAAACTAATGATCGAGAAAAAATCAAAATTCTTTTTCCTATGCTAATGGGTGATATGCCCGCATTATCTTCCATGGTTCAATTTGTAGAACCTCATGCTTTTTATGCATGCATGTTTTGCAATACAAAAGGAACCTATAATAAGAAAGGGCATTGCATCATATATTCTACTGATGATAATGCTGAGCTAAGAACGATCGAGAATTTCGAAAAATGTGCTCAAATTGCTGACTCTATGAAGTCACGAATTGATCGAGAGAGAACAACAGGACTTAAAGGTTTGAGTGCCTTTTTCGAAGTTCTCGACGTTCCGTTACCGCACTCCATTATTATTGATGCGATGCATACAGTATTTTTATGTCATTCTAAAAAACTTTAAATGGAGTTAAAAACATTTATTTCAAAAGATGATCTTTCAAAAATAAGCGAAAAACTTCGTTCAATGCATTTTATACACGATATTCTTCGTCGACCAAGATCACTCGCCAATATACATAAATGGAAAGCTTCGGAAGTACGAACATTTATTTTGTATATTGGATTACCAGTACTTGTTGAATCTTTACCTGAGGAGATAAGTGGAAATTTAGCACTATACACAGTTATTCTTCGTCTTCTACATGATTATTGGGACAATAATAAAAATATTAATGATTCAGTTTGTTCTTTATTGAAAATTTATATAAAGAATCTGTCGAAAAATGTAAATTCTGATGTATATCCACCTAAAATGCTCACTATTTCAACTCACACTCATCTTCATCTTCCTTTTCAATGTATAAAATTTGGTCGATTAGATTGGCTGTCAAATTTTGTTTTTGAAAGCTTTCTTGGGTTTTTGAAAGCGTTTGTGAAAGGCTCTTCTGGAGCAGGTGATCAAATTGCATTTGCATTTATATCAAATTTCTTTCTTCCAAAAATTCAAGAAAATGTAAATCGTTCCTATGGTCATTTTTCTATCGATCAAAAAACATTTGGTAGTAACATCTTAAAAATGAAGAATGATGAGCTTATCAGTAATTTCTTATTTAAAAACGGTCATGTTAATCCTAGTACGATCTTTTTTTCTCGTCTTCACTTCTTCAATGTTACTTATCATTCTTTTCTTTATTCTCGAAAAGGTTCTACTTGTAGTTATTTGGTTTCTTATGAAAAAAAAGTGTACTTTCGTACGGTTATATTCTTTGTTTTTTTTCAAATGGCTGCAATTGTTCTGTCGTCCTTCAACCACTCACTATTGTTAATTATTCTCTCACTGCTTTTTTTTCATCATATAAATATGTTAATGCTATTAAAGATTTCTTAAATAATGTTTATATTGTTGTTAAACGTGTAGAACCTTCACTTGTACAGCTTGATGGTTTGGATGTTTTTCCTATATCATGTATTCGTTCTCGTTGTTTTTCTATTCCTTTGGGTAAAGAATTAATGGTTGTTACAAGTTATTCATGTGCATATGAGCACAATTAAATAAACTTTCTTTTTTGAAATATGTATTCAATCAATGATGAACAATAGATGAAGATTGAAGAAGAACAAAAACAAAAGGCTAACACTTAAGTGATCGGTATAATAGATGAACTGATCAGTATAAATACTAGATGACTAAGATTAAAATTAACAGTGCATGATTGTAAAATGATCACTTTATTACATATAATTACCAGTAAAAAAACGTTAATTTGTATCAATAAAAAAAAATTTCGATCAGTGAAAAAACAATTTTCTGTTAGAAAATAACTGTTACCAATATGAAATAAATTTAATTAAATCAAAAAATCATTAAATGAAGAAGAAAAGCTTTTCAGATCAATTTAAAAGCGGAGTTATTGTATTGATAGAGCAGATTTAGCCTTTACTAAATTTTGTTTCTTTTCTATTTTATCGAAACTATTGTCGCTACTGGTGGTGTATTATTTTTCAAGCGAAAGTCATACCGACAATATATTTGCATAATTAATTTTTAAGAATGTTGAACAATTGAATTGAGAGAGAGATTCATTCGATATTCCGTTTTACTTTTATTTTGATTATTTAATATAATGTACTGTTAAAAAATTTTATCTATTGATTTCAAAATTTTTTTTTTCAAACTGAATCATTTAAATTACTGATCGTTAATATGATGCTGATCTTTCATATAACTTTTGGTCATCCATTTAATTTACTGATCACAAATCATATTTTCAAAACAAAAGTCATTTTCTTTCTACTTCAACAAGAGAACACAGTGCAGCTGGGAAAGCTGTTCAGTTCATGAACTGAAGGTCTAGAGATCAATACTCTCTGTGTTCACATTTCTTCTGTTCTATTTAGAAAATCCTGCTACGATCTTGACCAATTCCTGCCACGATACTGGTAAGTTCTGCTCTTGTAAGTATACACTAGCTCCATCTCGTGCAGCCAATCTTAGCGAATTCCTTGATGAAGCTTAGATGAAGGCTTACTGGAATGAGACAAAATCTTGGACAGATCCTGAAATATATTTTTTTAAAACTAACTCATAATCTTGAAAGGATCCTGCAAAAAACTTACCAATAACCTTTAAGAATCCTTGATAATTCTGTTTTCAATCCTGTCAGGATCTTGAAATTTCGTGGCTACACGATTTCTTCAGGATTTCATGAATTCCTGGCTGAATCCTAGTGAATAATCAATGGCAATCCTACAAGGATCCTTCAGAATCCTATTTTAAAACCTGTAAGGATCTTGAAATTTCGTGGCTACACGATTTCTTCAGGATTTCATAAATTCCTGGCTGAATCCTGGTGAATAATCAATAGCAATCCTACGAGGATCCTTGATAATCCTCTTTTCAATCCTGTAAGGATCTTGAAATTTCGTGGCTACACGCTTTCTTCAGGATTTTGTCGTTTCCTCAGGAAAAAAGAGCGAATCCTGATGAGATCCTGGTCAGATCTCTCAAAGATCAGGCACAGAAACACTAAAGATTTTGCCTAGGGTATCGAAGCACTCATCAAAATTTATATTTTTGATTTGATATTCTCATCTTGTTCAGCATCATTGAAAACCTCTAAATCCAAATTTTTAGCGCATTTGGTTGAACTAGTGAAAAGTTAGCTCAATTTTACTGTCAAGTGCTCACGAAGTTATTTGAAAAATATGATCAAAAATTATCAATATAAAGTTGAGTTATTTTAAACGACAAAGGATTAACAAAATTTTTAGTGTAATATACCAAAAGATAGAGCATTGAAAGCTGAACAAAATTACTTATTTACATATGATATGTATATAGACTGATCGATAGTTATTTATGAAATACTGTTCATGACTAGTCATTTTTCGAGTAAAAAGTGGGTGGATTTTTTTCAGTATATTGGCTGCCATTCAGTTATTTTTAGGAGTTCCACGCTGAATTTCATATATGTTGTACAGCTTTTCTTCCTCTACAAAATGATAAAAAAAGAAGCTTAAAAAAAAAGTCCCGCATTGATCCCAAAAATGGTTCACAATGTAGGCCAAATAGACAGTATTTGTTGAAAAATATATTGTAAATATTTTTTTTGATGAAAAAAAACTTTTCATAGTTTGTCAACTATCTATAGTGCTTTTGGTGTAAGTACGATATATTTCAATGGATATGTGTTCTATTTAAACTAATCAGTCTGTACGTATTGTAATTTTATGGGGGTAAGATTGGTCAACTAATATTAGACAGGCATCTTATCATGTAAAGAGAGATAGAAACATTTAACAACTGAGATAGTGTCTATTGAAACTCCATCTGCAATTCTAAAATTATTTAAATAGTTGCATACTTACGAAATAAAAGAGGCAGGATTGTTGGCCACAGTAAAAACATGTTTTTCTGTGTTTCTCCTCTTCGGCACGTAGAGCCCATCCTGCTTGAAGAGGAGGGACATTACTCGGAAAACCCGTGTCCCCATATTGTTTATGAGTGTTAATCGGAAAACCCGCACTCATCTAAACAATATTATTCTTTATCAATGGGCATTATTCGGAAAAACCGTGCCCTCATATTGTTTATGAGTGTTACTCGGAAAAACCGCACTCATGCAAACAATATTATTCTTTATCAATAAAGAAAGGAAATGTACGTCGAACACATGGTTATACGACGGATATTTGCTCCTTCTTTCCAAGTCTGTTTCTGTCACATATATATGCAGTGAAAAGATATGATCAGACAGTTTAATTTCATTTTTAAAAAAAGAAGATAAATATATAGTTATCAGTTTTGAAATTACAGTATACTTTTGTATCCTATAGAAAAGAATTTAAAATTTGATTATTGACATTATATTTATACAAGGCATCAACTATTTATTCATAAGATATACAAATCACATATCCACTGAAGTATGTCGTACTTACACCAAAAGCACTATAGATAGTTGACAAACTATGAAAAGTTTTTTTTCATCAAAAAAAATATTTACAATATATTTTTCAACAAATACTGTCTATTCGGCCTACATTCTGAANTGATTAGGTACTCGTGATAGGCTTAATATGAGCTAAAACAGTGAGTTAAAGTTTCTGTAGTTCCCTCATAAACTCGAGAAGAAATGTTTCATGTAGGATACTTTATTCTTAAATCAATCATTCGAGATATAATCTATTTCATAACATAATTAGTATTACTAAGCACGACATTGTTTATTGTAGACTTCTATTGGATGAATATTCGAATGATAATACATTTCTTGATATGGGTAAAACCAGCGTTACGGAATTTCATTTTCTTTGCATTGCAACAACAATATCTCCTCGCAAATCAAAGCAAACTCTCCGAAATTTTCACCATAGATGGAGACTATGATGGTCTATTAAAAGTAAAAATTTTGTTCATTTTCATTTGGTCAAACCTGAGCTATTCAAAAAACATTGACCGTTACGGAATTTCAAAAAATAGAATTTTTTTAAGGGTGACTTGAATGTTTATCATTTTACTACGAAATCAAGAAACATGCAAATAAACCGTCTATATAAAAGTCGCTCAGTTTTCCACAAGCTTTTAGAATATAAAGTTAGTTTTGAACAAACCTAAATGCATTGAATAAAAAAACTAAAAATACTGTTCCTTACGGAATTTCATGCGTTACGGAATTTCAACCTTTTTCAAAAATCGAAGTTTGGACTGGAATAAAATCAAAAAATATCAAAGCCAACCATATTAACCTTCCCAAAGTTCGATTCTGCATCAAATGGTATGTTATTTATTAGGATCCAGTAAAAAAAAAAATTTTCGCTTTTTTCGACCCGGTAAATTTTCGGAAAAAATCAAAGTTTAAATTTTGAAAAACTAAATCCTCCATTTTGTTCAAAATTTGATGCTGATTCCAAATATAACGAAATATATGTGTATTTATGAACAAAAACAGCATGAAACATTCAGTAGTCTAAAAATCACGGCGATTTTTGGATACTGATGAAATTCCGTAACGCAGTATTTATAGGAAACAGATGAGGAAAGTAAATCAAACGACGCTGAAAATAAGTGTATTCGATAGAGCTCGTTGAGTTCTATCTGTAGGTGTCGTTAATATTGCAACAATTAGCAAGGTAAGCGAGCAAAACACATTATAAGCAAGTTTCGTTACGGAGTTTCATTAAAGATGGAGATGGTTTGTGGAAGCATCATTTTGTTTCGTGGATATCTAACATTTGCATAAAGGCTATGTGTGGAAAGAGTGCTTCGTATTCAATCGATTCATATCTAATTGAAGAATTTTTATTCTATTCATTCGTGTTTATTTAAGGACGTATTCCACTACTATCTTTCACAAAAATTTTCGAGCTAATAATCCCAAGAAAAATTTCGTATGTCTGAGACATTTAAAGCTGCAAGAGAACAGAAACGTTTTCATTTCATACACTGTTGATCATGAATTGTGCAGTTCATGCTTTAAATTGTTTTACTCTTCTTCGCAACATCAATAATCATGATTCTCCTTTCTTTCTTTTACCCAACGGTGAAGCATTTACTCGTCGTGCTCTTATTTTCAATTTAAGACATTTACTGCTTCAATTAGGTTATGAAGCTTCTGCTTATAGTGGACATAGTCTGCGGGTAGGAGCAGCTACATCTGCAGCGGCGGCTGGTGTTCCTGATCATTTAATACAAACCCTAGGTCGTTGGAATTCTTTGTCTTATTTACGTTACATCCGTGTTAGTGATACTGTTATTCTGGCAGCTCATCATAAAATATTGCAGTTTTCTTCTTAGTTATTTCTATCTTTGGTCTGTTTATTGCTTTTTGTACATATTTTCTTTGGGCACGAAGCTCTTATCTTGCGATAGAGCTTCTTGTGACGTTTTTAAGTGTCCAAAAATGACTATAAAGAATATCTTTAACTTTTTTGTATTTTATTGTGGTTAATTGTTTTGTTTTGTCACTTTGTATTTTGGCAGTAAATATATATATGCCCAACTCGCCACTATATAATAGCAGTCTTCTCATAGAGAGAT